TTACCCTCATCATCTTTATTGGGGTCACCCTGATCCCTCGATATCCCATAATACTCCCCTTTCTCATCCTTCAAGTGTCTGCCCTAATGTTCCCGAGACACCCTACCAGCTCAGCTCTCCTTATGAGAGGGCCTCACTGTTCTGTTTCCTTTGCAGCCGTTATCCCCTTTGCAGTTGTTAATTAAATGTGTAATTACATGATGGCTTAATGTTTGTCTCCCCCACTGGGCTGAGTGCATCAGGAGACCAAGGCCAGGGCTGTCACCACCGCTGCGTCCTGAGCAAATGCTTGTTTGATGAGTGAATGACAGAAGAGCAAATGAGCAAATATTTGACTGATTAATCATTGCATGCGTGATTAAATACATGAGTGAGCAAATCACTGAATGAGTAAGCAATGGAAGGGGAGAGATCTAGGATAATTTCCAAACTGCCAATATCCCAGAACTGTGTAGATGAGTTTTTCTCCATCTTTTGGAGTGGTTTTTGACACACTGGAGGGGGAAATAAGTAACGACAGTCAGAGATCGAAGTGGCAGAGAAAATAGTTTGCGATGCGGAGGGCCGCAGCGACCTCTCCAGGTGCAGGCTGGAGAAGCGCCTCCCGGGCAGGCAGCAAAATAAGGTCCGGTTCGATAAAGAAAAGTTAACACGCTCTATTCGTGGTTGTCGCCCGAAAGGTGGAATTGAACCACTCTGTCGCTAGACAGCTACAGGTTTGAAGCCTGCACCCCAGACCACTGAGGATCATCCGGGCGAAGTAATAACGCTCCCGCGCAGCTATATAAGGATCACAAAGGCTTACCTTTTAGAGTTATGGTCGCGTCCTTTGGGCAGCTATGAGATGGTCGACTTCAAGGGCTATACATTCTCCCCACTCACTTATCACGAACGATGTCCTTGTAAAATGTTGCTTTCACTTCATATAGTATGAATCATCCTCGCTCACAAAACCGTCTCATTTACATAGCGCCACGCATTCTGGGAAGCAGCGCCTGAGCACCTGGCAAGCCGTTAAAGGGCCCAGGACCCCCTTTTACCAAAATGAAAAGTCAGCTTTTTAAGAGGAGAGATTCAGGATTCGGCATTCAGAAGCGCCTTCTCGGAAAATTCCGAATTCTCCTTCTGCGGAGGAGTGGTGAGTGGGTTCCTGTTAGAGTCTGATTCACCCTGGCCCCAAAGGCTCTGAGCAGGCGGCTACCGGGCTGGTGCGACACCTGCTGTTCTTTTATGGAATTGCGTAGGCCGATGGAGCTCCGCGTTCATTCAAACGTTTATTGAGCGTGTACTGAGTCCCAGGGACTGTCTCGGTGCTGGTGACTACAGACATCCTGTCCCGATTGAGTTTAAACACTAGACATAACCAATTTTGCACTTGCGTTTTATGGTTGGGGAAACTGAGACAGACTCAGAAACGGATAGTACCATATCCCGGTTAAAACGGCCCATCCACTTAGGGAAATCGAACTTGTGTTACAATTTTTATTACAAAAAAGGTGATTTTTTCTTAAATTTTTACGTATTTAGGAGGTACAGGTGCCGATTCCTACATGCATATGTTGATTGTGTCGTGGTGAAATCTGGACTTTTAGTGTACTCATCACGAAAAATTATTCAATATTCTGAGTCAGTGATTCTTTGACAATACCATTCTCCTGCATTGAACTCTCCCATGACTTCCATTTCAGAGTAAAAGTCAAAGTTCTCACCCTGCTTTACAAATCCCTGTAATCCAACCCCTTTGGCCCCTCTTATCCTGTCTCACATACTCCTCTTCCCTTATATTATTGGCTTTGGGCATACAGAGGTCTTGCTGCACACATGGATCATGCTACCTCCGCAGGGACTTTGTGCTTGCTGATCCCCTAGCCTGGATCTCCTCCTCACATGTTTCCGTGGCTCATCGCCTCCCTTCACTCTGTTATCTGATCAAATATCAAATACCAAAAACTCACTGAGTGACCAGCACTCAGTGAGGCCTTCCCTGACCACCCAGTTTAAAATAGCGAGTGGATGGGCTCGGTGGCTCACGCCTGTAGTCCCAGCAGTTTGGGATGCCGAGGTGGGTGGATCACCTGAAATCAGGAGTTCGAGAGCAGCCTGGCCAACATGGTGAAAACCCTGTCTCCACTAATGATACAAAAATTAGCGAGGTATAGTGACTCATGCCTGTAATCCCAGCTACTCGGGAGTTTGAGGCAGGAGAATCGCTTGAACTCTGGAGGCGGAGGTTGCAGTGAGCTGAGATGGTGCCATTGTACTCCAGCATATCCTACTCCAGCCTTGGTGAAAAGAGCAAAACTCCGTCTCCAAATAATAATAATAATAATAATAATAATAATTAATAAATAAAATAAAAATTAAAAAACAGCGAGCTCTGTCACTCTATCCCCTTACCCTGATAGACATTTCCCCATCACTCTGATCACCACCTGCCATTTTCTGTGTCTATTTGCTTATTGTCTGTCTGCTTCTGTAGAATATCAGCGCCATCAGACTTTGCATTTTATTTTTGATCATTGCTGTATCTCTAGTGCCTGAAAAGTGCTTGAGAACATAGCAGATGTTCAGTAAATGTTTGTGGAATGAATAAAAGAATATTATCACTGTCTTTTTTTCCTTCTTCTTCCAGACAGGATCTTACTTTGTCACACAGGCTGGAATGCAGTGGCGTGAAAACAGCTCACTGCAGCCTCGACCTCCCGAGCTCAAGTGATCCTCTTGCCTCAGCCTCCCTGGGATGACAGGCATATGCCACCACGTCCAGCTAATTTTAATTTTTTTTTTTTTTGTAGAAACAGGGGCCTCACTTTGTTACCCAGACTGGCCTCGAACTCCTGCTTCTGGCCTCAAGCCATGCTTCTGCCTTGGGCTACGAAAGTGCTGGAATTTCATGCTTGAGCCACAGCACCTGGCCTCACTATCCTTCTTTGAGCCTGTTTTCTCATTTGCGTAACCAGACTAGTACAACTGATCTCACCGGAGAAATCATGATATAAAAGTCTGACACTGGATGAGGCAACTGGGAGGAGCTCAGTAAAGGCTGTTTCTGCTGGGTGCGGTGGCCCACACCTGTAATCACAGGACTTTGGGAGGCTGAGATGGGTGAATCACAGGAGATTAGAAGTTCCAGACCAGCTGGCAAACATGGTAAATCCCCATCTCTACTAAAAATACAAAAATTAGCCAGGCATGGTGGCTTACGCCTGTGATCCCAGCTACTCAGGAGGCTAAGGCAGGAGAATCCCTTGAACCCAGGAGGCTGAGGTTGCAGTGAGCCAAGATTGTGCCACTGCACTCCAGCCTGTTCGACAGAATGAGACTATACATAGATATATAGTTTCGTTCTCTTTTTTTTTTGGCAGGGATTACAGGCACCTGCCCCCACACCTGGCTAATTTTTGTTTTTTGTTTTTTTTTAGGAGAGATGGGGTTTCACCATATTCACCAGGCTGATCTTGAACTCCTGACCTCAGGTGATCCACCTGCCTCAGCCTCCCAAAGTGCTGAGATAACAGGCGTGAGCCACAGTACCTGGCCAGTAAAGGCTGTTTGAATCTTCGATCTGTTTTGAGCTTGGAGGCTTTAGTCATAACTGGACCCAAATTCTCAATCAGACCCTCTTCCACCACTCTTTGTGATAGATAAATAAGCATGTTGTCTTATGGGAAGTATTAACTAAGAGCATCTTTAGAAAGTTTTGGACAGGCGCCATGGTTCACATCTGTAATCCCAGCACTTTGGGAGGCCGAGATGAGTGGATAGCTTGAGCTCAGGAGTTCGAGACAAGCCTGGGCAACAGACTGAGACTCTGTCTCCAAAAAAAAAAAAAAAAGGATTGCCTCTGCTTGGCAAATCCTGATTCAAGATACGTCCCCTGAACCCTCTTTGTTTTAATTAGATAGTTACTGCTAGGCACTTCTGTATACAATTTCTGAGGCTGTAAGGACTCCTTGGAACACTATTATCTATCTCCTAATATGTGACATGTGTCATGACAAACAAGTGAGTTTTTCTTTTTTTTTTTTTTTTGAGATGGAGTTTTCCTTTTTTTTTTTTTTTTTTTTTTTTTTGAGACGAGTCTGGCTCTGTCGCCCAGGCTGAAGTGCAGTGGCCGGATCTCAACTCACTTGAGTTTCTCCATGTTGGTCAGGCTGGTCTCAAACTCCCGACCTCAGGTGATCCCCCCTCCTTGGCCTCCCAAAGTGCTGGGATTACAGGTGTGAGCCACTGCGCCTGGCCTCTTTTTTTCTTATTTAATTTTTTTGTAGAGATGAGGTCTTGCTATGTTGCCCAAACTTGTCTGGAACTCCTGGCCTTAAGTGATCCTCCCTCCTCGGCCTTCCAAAGTGCTGGGACTGCAGATCTGAGCCATCGTGCCCGGCCTAATGAGTTTTACATCTGAGGAAACTGAGGCTTTGAGAGGTGAAGTCATATGCTGAAGGTCACACAACCAAGGGGTAGTGGAGCCAGGATTCAAACCCAGGTCTGTGGATCTTTAGACCTCAGTCTCCTTCCAGTCTCCCCATGGGTCCCTTTGCTTCCTCCTTTCCCAGTTGAGATTTTTTTTTTTTATTTTAATGGAGTCTTGCCCTGTTGCCCAGGCTGGAGTGCAGTGGCATGATCCTGGCTCACTGCAACCTCTGCCTCCTGGGTTCAGGCGATTCTCCTGCCTCAGCCTCCCGAGTAGCTGGAGTTACAGGTATGTGCCACCACACCCGGCTAAATTTTGTATTTTTAGTAGAGATGGGGTTTCACCATGTTGGCCAGGCTGCTCTTGAACTTCTGACCTCAAGTGATCCGCCCTCCTCGGCCTCCCAAAGTGCTGGGATTACAGGCGTGAGCCACTGTGCCCGGCCTCCCCTCAATCATTTCATAACCCACACAGATGGCAGAGGGAGCTTCTTCCCCAGAGATGGGGAAGGTTCTCCTGGAGTGTCAAGTGCTTTTCAGTGCAGAAAGGTGAACACTGGAGGGTTCTGGAAGCACAGGAGGCCTTGAGTTTTCCACAGGAGTCTTTATTACAGTGTAAATCCAAGCTCAGGCCTCCCCTGGGCCCCATGCAAAGCCCCGGCGTAGGGGCTAGTAGCGTCCAGGAGACACCAACGCCTCACAGCGCCTCCAGCGGCGGGTCCGGAAGTGCAGGGTGGTGCCCTGTCTAGGCAACTACAAGTCCCAGCAGGCCCCGCGGCCAAGGTGCCTCGTCTTTCCTGGACTCCTGGAGCAGAGCCTCTTGGGAAATGTAGTCCTGGCCGCTCAGGTAATTAGCGCAGAGTCCCTAGTGGGAGTGATCCTGACACCCACCGGGAAAAGACTCAGGCCGAGGAGGGGAGTGGGTGGGAACGGACGGGAGATGGAGGAGGGCAGAGGGCTGCTGGGGGTGGGGGCAGGCGTCCTGCGGGCGGAGACACCGTTCTCATTCGGCTTTGGCTTTGGATCCGGAGACTGCGGCTGCTGCAGAGGCCAGGGCTCCGGTCCCTGGGATTTTAGCTCGGATCCTGAAGGAGAAACAAGTGGGATCACAAGGTGGGGCAAAAGACAAGCAAGGGGTGGCATCTGGGGACTACGGGGAAAGCTGGGTGGGAAACTGACCAAGAGCCCGAAGCCAGCTCCTGCCTTCCACCTAGTGGCCTGCATTGGAATTGCCTCCTCATCCTTTTCAAGGGGACATTACCAGGAGGTTTTCGGACAAGGAGAGTAGAAAGGAAAGGTTCCCAAGCTCCCCCACTTCCCCCTCCCGTCGACCTCTGCCCCATGCTCTTACTTAGCTTTGATGTGGCTCAACTGATTGGTCACCAACCCCACATACTGGTCAATCTGAGCCTGGGGAGACCAAAAAAGGTGAAAGAAGGGATTGGAGGGGTTTCTTCTCTTTAGTCACATAGGAGGCTGCTTCCTCCCCAACTTCCAAATCAGGAGTTGTGAGGAGTGGCCCACGACACCACCCCCGGCTCTAAACTTCATAGAATACATCAGATGCCAGAGATGCCAGTTGTAGGGTCAGTCAGTTGGGCCATACTCTGTATGGAGAGTGATGTCAGGTGGAACGCACAAGTATCTGGCAGTGAGGCCGTGTCCTGGGTACGATGATTAACCTTTGAGTGAGTTTGCATATGTGTGTGTTGTGGGGTAGGGTGAGAACAGATGGCACTGGTATTGGTCACCGAGTCCTTGAGTGGATTGATTTATATACTAGTGTTTTTTTAAAATTTTTTTACTTTTTATTTTATTTTATTTTATCTTATCTTATCTTATTTATTTTATTTTATTTAGACAGGGTCTCGCTCTGTCACCCAGTTCAGTGGCCAATGATCTTGGGTTCACTGCAACCTCCACCTCCTGGGTTCAAGCGATTCTCCTGCCTCAGCTCGCCCGGAATAGCTGGGATTACGGTGTGCACCAACTGCCGGCTATTTTTGGATTTTTTTTTTTTCTTTTTTCTTTCTTTTTTTCCTTTTCTTTTTTTTTTTTTTTTCTGAGATGAATCTCGCTCCTATCACCCCAGGCAGGAGGGGCAATAGCACAGTCTCGGCTCACCTGCAATCTCTGCCACCGGCGGTTCAAGCGATTCTCCTGCCTCAGCCTCCCAAGTAGCTGGGATACAGGTGCACACCACCACACCCTTGCTAATTTTTGGATTTTTAAATAGAACAGGGTTTCACCATCGTTGGCCAGAATGGCTCAAACTCCTGACCTCAGTGATCTACCTGCCTGCAGCCTCCCAGCTGGGATCACAAGCATAGACCACCATGCCCAGACTGTTTTTTTTTTTTTTTAGAGAGGGAGCCGGTCTGCTCTATTGCCCAGCCTGGAGTGCAGTGCATGATCACAGCTCACTGCTGCCTTGACCTCCTAGGGTTCAACCCATCCTCTTGCCTCAACTTCAGAGTAGCTGGGACTATAGGTGTGTGCCACCATGCCTGCCTAATTTTTAACCTTTTTTTGTAGAGATGGGGGTCTACTATTTGTCCGAGGGCTGGTTCTTTGAACTCTTGGCCTCAAGCAATTCTCTCGTCAACCTCCCAAAGTGCCGAGATTTACAGTTGTTAAGCCACTGTGGCTGGCCTGATTTAAATTACAGTTTAATTGTGAGTCTTTGGTGATTTCAGCCGGTGAAGGACAGAGTTAGGACTAACTGGCAGGGCATATTATCATGTGGCTCCCAGCTGTGCTGGAGAAGGGGTCGTCAGTCTATCCTCCTGTCTCTGGATAGGATGGATGTCAGTGGTCCTGTTAATGTCAGTCTTCTGGGCAACAGCCATCCCGAGCTCTTTTATTTTTGATTTTATTATTTTTTGGTTTGTTTTGTTTTTTGCTTTTTGTTTTGAGATGCGAGACTTCCTCTGCGCCCAGGCTGAGTGGCAGTGCCGATCTCAGCTCTACTGCAAGCTCCGCCTCCCGGGGTTCACACCATTCTCCTGCCTCAGCCTCCTGAGTAGCTGGAACTACAGTGCCCGCCACCACGCCCCGGCTTAATTTTTTGTTCTATTAATAGACAACGGGTTTCCTTGTGTTAGCCAGGACGGTTCTCGATCGCCCGTTGATACCTCGTGATCTCACGCCCCTCGCGCGGTCCACATGCGGCTCACGGCGCGGGCACGTTCACTTTTTTTTCTTTTTTTCTTTTTCGAACAGTCCTTCTGTCAGTGCTGGAATGCAGTGGCATTTAACTGACATGTCAGTTAAAATCAAGAGTGAAGGCCTAATCCCAGCACTTTGAGAGACCAAGGCGGGTGGATCACCTGAGGTTGGGAGTTCGAGACCAGCCTGGCCAGCATGGTGAAACCCTGTCTCTACTAAAAATACAATTAGCCAGGCATGGTGGCAGGCACCTGTAATCCCAGATATTCAGGAAACTGAGGTAGGAGAATCGCTTGAACCTGGGAGGCAGAGGCTGCAGTGAACCAAGATCACACCATTGCACTCCAGCCTGGGCAACAGAGTGAGACTCCATCTCAAAAAAAAAAGAAAAAAAAGCAGTGAAGTCTGGGCACGGTGGCTCACGCCTGTAATCCCAGCACTTTGGGAGGCCGAGGCGGGCAGATCACTTGAGGTCAGGAGTTTGAGACCAGCCAGGCCAACATGGCAAAACTCTGTCTCTGCTTATACAAAAATCAGCCAGGCATGGTGGCCGTATGCCTGTAATCCCAGCTACTCAGAGGTTGAGGCAGGAGACTCACTTGAGCTCAGGAAGCGGAGGTTGCAGTGAGCCAAGATCACACCACTGCACTCCAGCCTGGGCAGCAGAGCAGGACTCTGTCTCAAAAAAATCCAAAACAAAACAAAAACAAACAAACAAACAAACCAAAAGCCTGTCCCTGGCTGATGCTGATAAGACATGTTAGTTAGACTCTGGCTATATCTAGAAGGTGCCACAGCCAGGACACCTGTGTCTGGCTGGGACATCTGTCAATGGGACCCTGGTTCTGGAAGGAGATGGTCAGTCCCCCCATGTTCAGCTGGGGTGCTGACAGCTGAGGGTGTCACACTCACCTGGTGCTGCCGGTACAGCAGGGGGATGGTGAATAGACCGATCACTCCTGTGGGTACAGAGACGGGGGGCATCAGGGTGTTCCCAAGAGATGAACAGTTCCATCTGGAGCCCTGTCCCCCACCAGACACCAAGTCCCCACCTTGCCCCTCACAGCCTTCCCAGCTCACCCAGAATGAGAAGCGTCAAACCATTGAAGATGGCACCCACGAAGGTCAAGATGTAGAAGAGGAGGGCCAGCTGGGGGTGAAGGTCAGGGTCAGCAGAGCCCACCTGGAGTTCCCTCCCACCTGTGAGTTTACCCAACAGTCACCCTCCCACCCGCTAGCTGTGCAGAGGTGAGAGGGGAACCCAGGAGGGGCTGAGAGCTCCAGGCCACCTTGAGGGAATCCACGAGGTCTTCTACCAGGAAGAAATGCCGCAGCTGCGTGGCCGCCGAGACCACGCGGGAGGCGATCTGCTGGGACAAACGTTCCGTCTGCTCCCGAGTCAGGGTGAGGTCCACATCCAGGTAGGCCCTGCGGGGACACAGGAATGTGGGGCAGATCAATGGGTGACCAGCTCAGACTGGTGCAGGCGCAGCTGAAACAAGGGCGAGGAATGGCGGCCAGGAGAAGACCAGAGTTAGGACTGAGGGGCAGCCCCAAGGAACCACGTGTAGAGGGCTGGGGTCAGGGTCAGGGTCAGGGATCGAGGATGAAGGGTACCAGGTTAGGATTGGAGATTAGGACTGGAGGGTAGGTGAGAGGATCGGGATGAAAAACAATCAAGATAAGTCAGGGTCTGGGTGGGAGTAAGTGCCTGATTTGAGGTCATGGGTCATGCTTTAGGGTCACGACAGGGGCTCAGGTCAGGGGCCAGGGGTTCTCACTGGAAAGGGTTGGCTCCGTCCCCCCGGTGCACGGCCTGTAGCACTTTGCGGTAAACCCTGAGAGAGATGGTGCCGCAGAGCAGCAACAGAGCCACGTGCGCGGCCACGGACACGATGCTAAAGTGCAGGAGGCAGAGGAGGGAGACCATGAGGCCTGTGAAGACCACTCCTGACGTCCTCGTGTCCTTCCAGTACAGCAAGTCCGCCACTGTGGAGGGGTGGGGAGTATCAGGGCTTGTTCCTAACCTGGCTGATCTCCTCACCTCCCTCTCCCTGTCCTACAGCTGAAAAATGACTCCTTGACACACCTGTTTGAGCATAACCTGATTTCCGTGTTTTTTTGTTTTTTTGTTTTTTTTGAGAGACAGGGTCTCACTCTGTCGCCCAGGCTGGAGGGCAGTGGTGCCATCATAGTTCCCTGCAGTCTCGACCTCCTGGGCTCAAGTGATCCTCCCACCTCAGCCTCCTCAGTAGCTGGGACTGCAGGCATGCACCACCACTCAGCTAATTTTTTTTTTTGCTTCTGTTTTTATTTTATTTATTTATTTTTGAGACGGAGTATTGCTCTGTCACCCACGCTGGAGTGCAGTGGTGCTATCTTGGCTCACTGCAAGCTCCACCTCCCGGGTTCATGCCATTCTCCTGCCTCAGCCTCCTGAGTCGCTGGGACTACAGGCGCCTGCCACCACGCCTCGCTAATTTTTTGTATTTTTAGTAGAGATGAGGTTTCACCATGTTAGCCAGGATGGTCTCGATCTCCTGACTTCGTGATCCGCCTGCCTCGGCCTCCCAAAGTTCTGGGGTTACAGTCATGAGTCACTGCACCTGGCCTTGTTTCTGTTTTTAGAGATGGGGGTCTCGCTGTGTTGTCTAGGCTGGTCTCGAACTCCTGGCCTCAAGTTATCCTCTCGCATCAGCCTTCCAAAATGCTGGGATAGGTGTGAGGCACAGCACCCAGCCCGATTTGCAAAATTTTTTTTTTTCTTCTGTTGCCCAGGCTGGAGTGTAGTGGCACAATCTCCACTCACTGCAACCTCCGCCTCCCTGGATCAAGTGATTCTCCTGCCTCAGCCTCCTGAGTAGCTGGGATTACAGGAATGTGCCACAATTCCCGGCTAATTTTTGTATTTTTAGTAGAGACGGGGTTTCACCATGTTGGTCAGGCTAGTCTCGAACTCCTGACCTCGTGGTCCACCCACCTTGGCCTCCCAAAGTGCTGGGATTACAGAAGTGAGCCACCATGCTAGGCCTCAAATTTTTAGTGCCCTCTTTTCTTCCATGCTTATCTCCCTTCTTCTCCCTCTAGAAAACCCAAGTTAACCATTTAGCAAGTCCCATTAATTTTACTCCTCCCCATATAATTATATGTGGACACAGAAATACAAACTGATGCTTCTTGGTCATTTCTT